TTCTATTAATCTAGATGCCTTCAATAATTATTGTACTTATTATTCCACACTTTGATGTACTTATTATCCACACTTTAATGTACTTATTATTCCACACTTTGATATAGAAAATTTGGTGTTGAACGGTTGGTGAATTGAAAGTTAGCCCAGGTTTGAAAGATTGATGAAAGTTGAAGGATTGCTTTGTGGAAAATTTAGTGATTTTTCAATATTTATCAGAATTTAAATATTTTTAAATTAAAATGTTCATAAAATTAATTTACGATAGTTTACATATTTATTTTTTTTAATTTAATTTAAGAAAAAAATAAGCATAAGTTCATTTTTTAATAATTCCGGGCTAAGTATGTATCGTATGGGTATGGCTGTTAATATTTGACAAGAGTACTCTGGGTTTTGTTGGCTGAAATGTGCTTTAAAATCATAGTTTATGACTTTGGTATCGAGCCTTGACCCCCTTGTTGCTAGGTAAAATATTTGATTAACCAGACTGAAGTTACCATCTTATCATCCTAATTTCAAGTGCCTCTACTGTTCTAGTTGTAAACTCAAACTTATGGTGATATTGGATTGCATCCTTAACCTTTATCAGCCTTGAGGTCATATGAAAAGCTATATGCTTTGTGACTTCCACTCATCTTGCATCCCCTTCCCACTTATCTTGACTTCTACATGTCATCTCTTGATTTTCTATCTTTTACATTACAAAATCAGTCAACTACACAGGTTTATACGGTTTAAAGCTGGGTGATGGTAATACATAAACCTGAGGTATTCGTCTAAATTTACAAATGAATTACAAGAAGAAAGATAGCTTTTCTCAACTACAATATAATAACAACTAATGTTCTCCGTCATCCACACAGGTTTACATAAATGTCATCTTGCATTTATGTAAACCTATAGACCTGAGGTTTATTTTTATTTTTGAATGATTTGTATTTTGTTTCTTGGTGCATTGATATTCATAAGATGAGGATGCTGATTATTTTTCTTGTTTATTTCTTACTCTTCAGCTGCCATTTGATTTCATTGAAGCTTATAGTTTATCACTTTGGATCAGTTCTATCATCTTAATTGTGCTATCTCCTTTTGATAGTAGTACGGAGAGATTGATAACCTCTTTTGCTTTTGCAAGCAAGGATTGAAGACTGCAATTTCGGGGCAGTGTTATAGAACAATTTCAGAGATGCTCCTAAGTACTGATAACCAAACCGAAGGCTGTGGCTGACTAGCAACTACAATCTCACCCATTTTACCTTAGCTGGCTTAGTGTCATCCTAAATACATCACTATTACAATTTACAAAGTTGATTTCAATGAAGACTAACAATTGGGGACATCTTCGAGTGAGTAATTTGGTTTTTGTATTTTTCTTGAGTCTCACTCTCATCCAATATTATTAACTTTAATAATATCTTTAATAAAAAAGTAATTAAAATAGAACAATAATGTAGTCATAGTCTGAGCAAACACTAAACTAGCGACAGTACTGTTTTCATTATCCTACTTCTTGGTCCGACACTGCACCAAACGCTTCACTAAGCTAGTCCAGCTTAGTCCCTGAAGCAAGTCCAGACCAAGACAGTCCGGTGTAACAAACGCACCCTTAGGTTGTTGGTTCAACGTTGACGAGATCTATGGCATCGAGAAGTATTTGGTGGTCGAGTGGACGATCCTATTAGCGTAAAGTAACGATTTCCAAAATTTTTTGTAATGTTTTTTCAATGGTGTCAAAGAGCTAAAATTGAAAGATGGTTCTTTTTTAGTTATGTTTTTGTTTTTGTTTTTGGATTGCTCTTCTGGTTGAAAAAGGATGAACATTCTTTGTTATTTTCTCACTCATTTCATTATCTTCTACAAAATCTCATACTCGTGAATATTGTCATCAAGGCGGATAGCATGAACATGTTAATGCATTTTCCTCTGCCAGTTTATCAATTTGAATTCCACTTTATTTGTGGTTTGTTAATTGAAATATGTACCGTGAAATTCATTATTTTGAGTATGTTCTTACTTGAAATTTGTAAGCTTTTGATTATCTTTTGGACAAAGGTAATTCATAACCAACAAAACACATAATATACAACATAAAACAGAAGCCCAATACAAATAAAGCACAAAACTAAAATATGGACCTCAAAACAAAAACCCAACCCAAAGGTTGAGCCCAAAACAAAAACACAGAAACCAAAAAAAACTTGTCATTGGGGGCGATCTGCTCCGATTAATCAATGTCCAAAAGAAACTTGGGATTGTTAGCCACTCTGAATTCAAGAATGAGCTAATGCACTTTAGGAACATGCTTCGCGAACTAATCAGTACTTGGAACACTTACTGGCGGAGCGGGATGCTTTTCTGAATTACTTTGATCATTGCAACTACAATATTCCGTAAGAGTTGCTTATGAATTCTCTGCATTTTATTTTTTTTTAGTATTAAATAGTATTCTAATAAATGTGCTAGCTAGTTTTTAACTTCTGATATGGAACATTATATGTGTTATGCTTTCATAGGGAAACTGAAATCTATCTATTAATTGAGATGATTTTTCAGTGTACCATTCTATCCGCTTTTGAAGATTGCAAGAGAGAGAATGAATTTCATTAGCTATGTTAAGGCTGAACATAATAAATGGTGGACTTTTGAGAAATGTCGGAATGAATATTCTGCTTATATGGGTGGAATGAGAATTGGTAAAAACCTGACCAGGATATTTGCAGCTGATCTACAACTTTTCAGGTTATACAAGAGCTTCAAAATCTCTCTTACTCTTCTTGAGCAATGTGGCCCAGCACGCACTATGATGAACATGGTGTTAGCATTTAAAAGGTTAACTTAAGACGTTCGGACTCATTTTCCTGGTTTTGTTGAAACGTTACATGAAAAGTGCTACAAGGATGTGTATTGACCTCGACAATTCCAAAAACAAACTCCTGATAGTCTAATTTAATTCATCATTGCTCTACTTTACCAGGGTTTAGCCTAAACCCTAAACTTTACCAGCACACCAGTGAAGCAATGGTTTTCACATCCCTATAGCACCTTTCATGTAACCTTTCAACAAAGCCAGGAAAATAAGTTTGAACGACTTGGTCAACCTTTTCAATGCTAACACGATGTTCATCATAGTGCTGGGTCACGTTCCTCAAGAAGCGTAAGAGAGATTATGAAGTTCTTGTATAACATGAATAGTTGTAGATCAGCTGCAAATATCCTGGCCAGGTTTCCCAATTCTTATTCCACCCCACGTAAGCAGAATATTCATTCTGCCAATTCCCAAAAGTCCACTAGTTATTATGTTCAGCCTTAACATGGCTAATGAAGTTCATTCTTTCTCTTGCAGTCTTCAAAAGCGGATAGCCGAGCAATATTTCAATGTATACCGGTACCCTGAAAAATCATCTCAATTAATAGATAGATTTCAATTTCCCTATGAAAGTATAACGCATATAATGTTTCATATCAAAGGTTTGAAAGTAGCTAGCACATTTATTAGAATACTATTTAATACTCAAAAAATTGAAATGGAGAGAATTCATAAACAACTCTTACGGAATATTGTCGTTGCAATGATCAAAGTAATTCAGAAATGCATCCCTCTCCGACCTGCAAGTATTCGAAGTACTCATTAGTTTCCTAAAGTGCATGAGCTCCTTCGTGAATTCAGAGTAGCTAATAATGTTTCCTTTGGACATTGATTATTCGAAGCCGATCGCCAGTGACATAGTTCGCCAGCCCTTCGTGAACGTAATTTGCCAAAAAGAGAAAACAAATAACCCTCAGTAAGTTCCTGCACAGAATCGTAAGCAACTACAAATATTGAAAGAAAAAGGTAAAAAAAAAAACAAACAGAAACCTACGAAATATTTGTGCGCCAAAGAGGCACAAAGAGTCGGGTCCCATCATTAAAATTTCTTCGACGGGCATCATAATTTTGGTCTGCTTGCACTTGTTCAAACCAGTTGTTCAGGTGACGACAATGACTTCTTGAGATTATGTGTGTTTCTGGTAAAGACAACCATTATAGATGATAAAAATGAGAGACTTGAAGGAAACTTACGGCGTGAAGCTGCAGTAAATACCAAAAGGACCCAATTCATTGGTGTCCACAATTGAATGCACGGTCTTGATCATGGGACATCCCTCTTCTCCGGCAACCATCTGAAAAGTGGTGATACAAATATCTTGACGAACAAAAGAGTACTCGTCGTCTCTAGTCTGGACAAGACAAAAATCCTTGTCTCCCAGATGAACCAACTGCTCTGTCAACTCACTGAATCGAGATGGCTTAAGAGCACTATCCAGGACTTGCAACGGTATGGGTGTGCTTAGTCTACAGGCAATATTGCTACCCTCTTCACCATAACTGATCCCAAATTGATCGCTAGCACTTTATCACAAGTTAACGAAAAGCCATAGATAGTCTGGTCTACAACCACAGCCCTCCCGACGAAGCCAGTGTGATCTGATGTAACTCGATGCCATTCTTGTGTCTTGATATGAAAGACATAGATTTGTAATTGGACCCCATTCATGTGACGCAGGGAAAACAAAATCCAGCCGTGACAAACAGCGTAACCACATATAAACATGTAGCGGCACTCTATGTAATACGGAAAATGAGGCAGTGTCTCCCAAGTTTCCTGACCAGGGATCTGCAATATGGTAGATGTGTCCGTACGCAGAGACAACAGACCCGAGCGGCTTAGGTGTTTTAGGGGCAGGGAATGTTTCAGATGTGGTATCCATGGCACAGTTATGTCCAATAAAAGTGGGGGTTTGGCGGCGTCTGAATCTGAATGTACCATTCGACAAAACTTGGAGTTGGAATTGCTGAAAATCCTTGCACACTGAGAGTGAAGACAGGGAAGCGGCTCCTTCTCGAAGAACTTGTACACGGGTTCAAGTAGATCAAGAGGGACTTCGGATAGATTTATTGGAATTAGAAGATGTATGAAATTAGAAGATTTTAATTTATTTCTAATATTTAAGAAGAAAAAAAAATTATATATATATATATAATGTAATATCTCAGGAGGAACAAAGCCACCAGTTCATCTAAAAATGCTCATACAAAAGCATAATTTTTACAGATTTAACTAAGTCCCAAGTGAAAAAAAAAAGGACAAGAACACAAGTCCTTCAACTCTCTGCATATCATGTACTTAAGCTGTTGCGACACCAACCGAAGGCAGGACTTCGCATCCTCCGGTGATTCAAATCCTTGGTATATACCATACATAGAAGTCTCCTAAATCAAAATATGTGCAGAAGATGATGAGAGTGTATATTTGCAGCCGGACCAAAACTTTGATTTCCGTTTGATGACGATGCCTCCTATAACAAACCCTGTTTTGCAAGATCTTTCCCAGCTGATACACCAAAAGGGAAAAATTGGTAAGGCGTACGCAACAGCACAAGACAAGACCAATCCAAGTCTCTAAATCGGGAATTGAAAATCTACAAACAGATTATGTCACTTACAACTCAGTTAACAAGAAAAACCAAAAGAAATTAACGAGAGCATTGAATCGCTCTCTCGACAAGCATTGTCTTTTAACTTCAATCTTGTACAAGTAGCGCGATTCTAAATACTCGAATTGGAAATGGTTATGAGATTTCCAATTCCGAGCCATATACTGTAATGCATTTAACAGACACTCTATTTTTCCGTTCTACAAATCGACATTTTCGCTCCTTATAAGACTAAAACAGCACATCTTTATATGGAGAAGCCAATGCTATCTAGTTGTCACTTTCAGTTCACAAAATTTTTCAGCAAAACGGCATCAGAACTCGCAGAATTGATCACAATTAGTAAGTTGAACATGAAGCAATGGTAGCAGTGATTAATCGAAATTAACAAAAGCCTCACCTTTTGAAGTCGGCAACACCAGGACAACCTGCATGGTCACATTGTTCGGGGGAAGCTGCAATCGAAGTGGATAGAGCTGGTGATTCAAAGGGCTTCGAGCACAAACGATGATCCCCTCAATCCCGGTTTCCTCCTCGAGCTTACGAGTCAATTCATCAACCCCGATTCCTTTAAAAGTCATAGAGTAGCCCTGCGCTGCTTCATCATTCACATCGCCGTTATCTTCAGCTATCTGGTAATATATAGTCCTCCCCTCCTTCGGCGGCGACTCCACATAAGAATCACTCGACTGCAATTTATAATTCATCAAATTAAATTAGATTAAATCGAAGAAAAAAAAATCGAACTTTAAGAAAAACCCAATTCAGAAACAAACCCCTTGTCTTGAAAAATGGTTGGATTTGACGGAAGCGGCTGATGGGGAGCTGGAATCGAAATCCAGAGAATCAGAATGGGGAAGCGGCGGCGGTCCGGAGGGCCAAGCAGCCGGAGAGTTGGTACGAATCTCGACAACATCGATATCCCACAGAACCCAATCTTGCGTTGCGGTTCTGTGAGGAATGTCGTGAGTCACCGAGTTCCGCCACGGCGGCAGTCCCCCATTGGCTCGGAGGAATTTTCCGTACCGGGTCTTGAGCCGGACCTGCTTGCAATCCATGACGGGCTCCCACTCGACGGAGGAGTCGAGCCGCTGCGGCAGAGTCTGCAGCACTTTCTGGCCAGTCATCCCAAGGAGGAAGGGCTGGTTGGAGGCGGTGAGGTACTTGCCGAAGCAGCTCTTGAGTCGGATGATGTTGTCGGAGTCGGGCACGAACTCGACGGTCCACCGGGCTCTCTTGGATGATCCATTTCGCTCCTGGATTACGGATTCCTCGTCCTCCTCGGCTAGGAGGTACTTCTCGAGGTGGCTGCGGAGGCGCACCGCCTTGGCGTTGCGGAAGAAGTCCATTCCGATTCGGAACTTGTTGGTATGCATCTGCGGAAAAATGGTTTCGGATTAAAAAATCGGAAGATCTAACGGATTTTTCGGTTTCTGAAAATCTAATTCGGACAAGCAAATGTGGAGTGTACGCTTTGAAGATGTGATGAATTTCAAACTTGTACTGATCAAGCAACGACAAATGCCAGTGAGCTCCCATGACCTACAGCGTGATTGGCCACGCGGTTGTGTACACGTGTCACTCACGTGGCCTAATCTCTTTACGGGTTCCGCGTGGAGAGCCTTTGAGCGGCCGACTTCCCTTCATGGGCCTGGCCCGAGTGCATTTTCTTGTTATTAATTATGATGCATCAGAAGCAAATTACACACAGGGTCACCAAATAAAACAAACCTAGAGTCGCATTCAAAACATGGACAATATGGGGTTGGGAGTTCCTAGGGAGGAGTATGCGACAGAGATCCTCTCTGAATTTCATTGTCCGGAGCTTAAGAACCAGGCAATTCGGATCATTCAGATTGAATTTGACAATTCTACTAACTCATTTTATTGACCCACCTCACACAAACTCAGGGCTCCAATCTTTTTTTCACACTAACCTAGAGCCCGAATTTTTTAGTCAAATCTAGATACTAATGTCCAAAGAAGATCCAAATTGGCGAATTTGTTCTTGAAATTACCATCTTACCTTTTGGATAAATTAATAAGAATGCTAATTTAGTCAACTCCATTCGATGTGAATGACTTTGTGACAAAGCAAACTAGTAAATTTTTAGTTCACCAACAAAAAAAAAATGTTAATTTATATAAAAATTTATTAGATTTGCGTAGTCACGAAGTCATTCACATAGACTTGAGTTGACTAAATCTTTCAAGTGATAGGTTTAATAATAAAATGAGGATAGTAGTTAAGACACTATTGAAAATTTCCCCCTGTTTTTTAATTTATGGTAGTACACCTAACTAGCCCAAAAAATATCACACATGTAAGCCAACCTAAAAATATCGAATCCGTGACAAGTAAAATCTACCAAGTGTTTTCTTAATATATTTTTGTAGATGAGGGTAGAATTGTCCACTTCCACTACAAATTGTCCACTTCCACTACAAAGGTGTAATGTCTATTTCATGACACGTGTACAATATAATACGGCACGATGAGGGATCGAGAGGAAAGGAGTGAAGACTTAACCAAATGTGATGTGTATTAATAAAGTAGTGCGGCATTAAGTTGTAGTGGGGAAGGGTTGGTGACATAGTATGCGCATTTTTGAGATTATATTGCAATTAGGGAACTAAATTCCATCAACTTCAATAGATATACGGAAATGGTATTGTGTTTAGTAGCTACGTAAATATACGTTTACACGCTAGTTGCAATTCAACATTGCTAATTAGGGCTAAATCACGGGCTAATTGATGATAGTTACGCATCCGTCTCATTTTTTCGAGACGGTTTTTTTATCATGATGGTTTGTGTCACTAGTGAACACACATATTATCTGAGCATATACTATGTATTTATATATCTAATATTGAAAAGTAACTTAAAAGTACAGACTCAATGACATGTAAGTTCATTTCATATTTTAAAGGAACTTTATGATTTGATTCCTAACAATTTCTTGTGGAAAAAATTTAAATAGAAAAATAAAAGTTGCGCAATACATGCATCAAATCGGTCAATGTCTTTTTGCCCAAAATGCAAGATTCCTCACTCAATTAGGAATGAGATGTGATATGCACACATCCCATTTTACTTCTCACACACCTTTTTAATTTTCGGCTCTCGGATCAGATGAATAATAAGATCAGCGGACAGAAATTATCAAGAGATGTGTAAGAAGTAAAATGGGATGTATGGATATCACATCCCTTAGGAATTAAGAGTGTACACACTACATGCATGTCCAATCACCAAACATTATTCCATTGCCTAAATGCATGACCATATAATTTAATTCAACCATTAAGCACTTTTAGGATGAACCAGCAATTTATCTGGTAATTAATTAAGAAAAGTGATTTACGTAATTTTATTTATTTTTATCATGCATTTATTAATTTATTATTATTTTTTTATATAATTGTTTGATTGAAAAATAATTAAAAAAGAAACGAGGGTGAAAAGGAAAAATATGGAAATGTGACAGTGGTTAATCAGAGACAATCAACATGGTATGTCATGATCAAACAAAGATGCTTGATTAAAATTTAATTGCGATTAATAAGACTAATTAATTAAAATTAATTAAGCAAAAACTAAACATACCTGCTTAGCCAGGTTTTTCGACGACGGCTTCGGAGTCATAACCAGGTTTTTCAACGACGGCTTAGGAGACATAATTCTAGGCGACTTGGTCGAAAACACCGAAACGGGCGACCCGTTAGGCTCGTCGGAAAACGACGAAAAACTCGACTGCTGCGACAGCAAGAAGTCAGTCAACGACTCTGACGCCGGAACCTCCGCCTCCAGAACGTCCCACAAAATCCAGTTCTGGGTGGATGACGTGGAGGGGTCGTCGTGAGTGAGGGAGTTTCGCCACGGCGGCGGCCCACCGTTGGCGCGCAAGTACTTGCCGCACCACGTCCGCAGCTTGACCTGGAACCCGTCGCGTATGGGTTCCCACTCGAACTTCCAGCCGACGAGCTTGTCGGCCTCCGCCTGGAGGACTTTCTTGCCGGTCATGCCGAGGAGGAAGGGGAGGTCGGTGGCGGTGAGGTAGAGGCCGTGGCAGCTCTTGAGACGGATGGCGTGGCGTTTGTTCTCAACAAGCTCGACCGTCCACCGGGCCTTTCGGGAGGTGCCGTTCCGGCTCTGGCGGACGGACTCCATGTTGTCGTCGGCGACGAGGTACTTGTCGAGGTGGCTTCGCAGCTTGACCGCCCTGGCGGTGTTGAAGAACTCCATGATTGATGGTCAAAAAATGAGATTGTGGATGCGGATGAAAATTGACTAGGAGTATAGTACGTGAAATTTTTAATAAAATTGGGGTTTGGGAAAAGGGTGGGTGTGTTGGGTTTTGCTTGTTGGTATTAAACTGCTTTTCTAGATGGTTTATATTATAGTCACTTTTAGGCTCGTTTGGGATGGACTCGTAGGAAGCACTTATCCTAGAAGAGTTTTTATGGTAAAAGTGATAAAACAATATGTTAAAGTTAAATTGAAGTGTTTAGGGGAATCAGTAGGAATAACCTGTTTCATGAATTTAATAACGATTACGTATTTATCACAAATGATGATTGAACGATATATAACAATCATGCAACAATAATATAACAATCATGCACGATGATATGATGACAAATAGTTTAAACTCGAGTGAAAAGAGTTAAGAGAACGATCTTTTCACCTCCTAAAAACAAATACACACTTGATTGGAAGATTAGTATTGTCAAGCGTTTGGATTGCGGAAGAAGAAAAATGAGAAGGAAATGACGATAAGGGACTTTGGTGATGACCCACGAAATTTCCCGGTGGCTACAATTCATTGACGAGTCGAAGAAGTTGGGCTCACGTCATATGTATCGGAATTAGGGTTAGGGCTTGTGACTATCGATGGCTTACAGAGACTGGTTTTGTCTTGGAATGGCAACGCGTACGAGGGCGTTTGTCGTATCATCTAGAAGTTCATATTAGTGGACAGACCAGATTATTTTGGACAATTCTTCGCATGCAGTCAGTCGGTCAAAATTTTTTGACCCGACTCCTCTACTACCAGCAAAATATTTACGATATTTGACCAAAAAACAAAACATTTATGATATTCACATACTATATTCTTTGTTTCTAACGATAATTGATCTCGTACCAAAAATAATAAGAACTAATTCATGTATTTTTGTTTACCAAATATTAAAAAGATTCATGCATTTCCTAGTTTCTCAAAATAATTCATTGTTCCATATCAATATTCCCTTCAATTGTCCTTTTTAAACTAGAGAGATTAAGGGTCACTTTGAAAAGGTTTTTAAAATGATTGAACGGATTTTAAGGAAAATGTTTTTGGATTCCAAAAGCATTTAAATTGTTTTCTGCAAGAAGCACCAACACTTCAAGTGATTTTCCAGGATCAATTGCATTTTACTAAATATTAGTTTCAAAAACATTTTCACAAAATACACTTTTAGTAGTTTTAAAAACAGTTACAAACGAGTCTTCAATTAAAACAATATTAAGATACACTACTATGAGCATTTTAATGCAAAAAAATTGAAGTCGACTTCTGCAATACAATGTATACATCAGGTTCTAACTGATTGCAACTTAAACAACTTAATAATTTAAATAAATTTTTATTACAAATGATATTCTAAATTAATTTATACTAATACGAGTTAGAGAAAATTTGAAATCGTGACGCATAAAGGGCTCTCAACCACCAGATTAGTCCACTACGTGCCGCTAGTCTAAATAATTAAACAAAAGAAAAATAAACCAAATACAAAAAGTAAACCGAGAAATAAAGTGCCATGGGCCATGCAGTTTTAGTTCGTGCATTGCAATCCTATCAACTTTTTGTATGGGCCATGCAATTTCTTGTCTCAAGGAACTTAAGTTATACTGGGCCATTAATAACGAGATGGGCTTTCCACAATAATATCGACGTACACATCCAGACGTGGGCCTACCTCAGGTTTGAGGTACAATGACTGGAACTCCCGTCCTTTTAACGTTGAGCATCTCCAATGATGCAGACAAATCGGAAATATAATATGCAAAACTGTACTAAACCTCTGATACTATCTAATAGGAAGGGCATCTTTCCGGATCTTTTCCATTTAAACCTGCTTATCAAATAATATGGACTCTTGAAATTTGATCCAACGGTTAAAATTATTATAACTTTTAAAGTAGACCTGAATTTTTAGCCATTTGATCAAATTTCAAAAACCTGAATTATTTGATGAGAACGATTAGGTGGAAGGGATTGGAGATGATCACTTTCCTAATTTTTCGTTAACATGTCAAATGACAGCAATGTAAACCAACAAAAATACACCACATGAAAGTTAAATATGAAAAATATGTAAAACAGCAAAATTAATATAAATGCTAGATTATACCGTTAATCAAATGTACATTTTCTAATTCATAAAAAATAAAAGAAAAACTTGAAAAAAAAAAAAAAAACATACACCACATCTATCCCTCCATCAGCCGCAGCCCTAAACACCTACACCAGATGGACCCAGTTTTTGTATTGTTCAGAACAATTAATTATCTGCAGTTAAGGACAAGGATTCTTTTTGGATTTTTTTTTTGTAGAGATTTAAAGATCAATTAATTGTGTCCGTTCATTGTATATTATGAGATCAGTTTTTGTTAAGTACTATTTATATTCAATTTAAAATTTAAAATAATTTATAACCGTACGATGTACAATTAATTGATCCTTTGAGTTCCCACAAAAGGAATCATATTCCCGCAATTACAAACCCTTTTTTTTTTTTTTTTTTTTAACAACATCGACGGTACAAAACAGCTGCAAACTTCATTATTGATAAGAATCGTTGCATGTATAAAGCAAAATCGTGTCATAATTGAAGTAATCAAGCAAATAATAAAATGGCAATTATTTTGAAGGGAGAGATCTGAAGCTTCTGTTAATAATACAAAAGTAATTTCGGAGGTTAAAAAAGTTGAAGTATGTTTGAATGTGATGTGACATTCTATAAAGATAAAAGTAAAAGCATTCTTCACCATGGAAAATGAAAGGTAAGAGAATAGAAGAAATGGAAAAGGGAAGGAAGAGGTAAATAACATTCCCACCACTTTATTCGTCTTAGTTGTAGTTTTACTAATTTTTCTTCAGCAATCCGTATTACAAAAATTGAACCGTGAAGATTAAATTGAGAAAAGTATTATTTTTGTTACATATCAATTTAATGGAGATAAAGCTAGACTACTTGGTTGTAATTTCAACTTCGACAAATATAAAGATTGTTATAGCATATTTGAAAATTTTAATTGTTGGATCTTTGATCACAATAATTAAAATTTGCTTGTAGAAGACGTTTTACTGCATGAACACAAAGTAACTATGTCTATGACATTTACCTTGCAGTCATACCCTAAACCTTGATTGCCACCACGAATAAAAAATACATTGCCATAAAACTCATTGAATATATCTATATAAAATAACAAATTAGTTCTTTTATCGATAGTTTGAAAATACTTTCGGTGGTGCAAAAATACGAAGTTTAGGATGAATATTAAACTTCCACAATTTATTAAGCATAGAAGTTTTAGTGTTGATTGCTAACGGTTAGCTGACTCTACTCTACCTCCGTGTACGCGAGCCTGCGTCCCGGCGTTTTTCAACCCGTTTGCTGCGGCTCCACCGAAGTTCGGAAATACTCACAAAGGCATTTCAATCTCTTCCTAGTCACAAGTCTGGCTCTCATCCGCAGCTGATTTCGAACCCGAGACCTTCAATTTTTAGTTTGAAAGAAGCTTCAGAATCCACCATTTACCACTAGATCATCAGCTTGTGATTAACATTATATAAACTAGGATAATTTGAATTATTATTTTTACCGTAATCTCGTGAATACAGATCGTCCAATACTTATAACGGTAAATGCTACTTAACGTAAAACTCAACTCACAATGAAAAACTCTTCACCATTATTCAACCCACCTCGATCACCACTATTCACCCACCAGGTCCACCACCTCTTTCGAGTTTTTTTGTCCTCTCTCTCGATCTCCACCTCACTTCACGTGACCCTCGGATTCAAAATCTCAATTTTTTTTCTTTCATGACTACTGGAACTTCACTCTTTACGCTCCCTTCTCACTCCCATTCCCTTCCACATCCATGCCTCCACCACCACTATCACCACACTCCGTCGCGCTCTCAGTCCTGATCCTCCTAACACTCTACTCAGCTGCCACCGCCGCCCACTCATGTTTCCCAAAACCATCGTCCTCCTCCACATTTTCATGTCCACCATTCACATCACCGCCGCCGTTCCCCTTCTCTTCTTCACCAGGCTGCGGCCACCCTTCTTTCCAAATCAAATGCTCTGCCCCCCACTCCACCATCTCCATCAATAAGCTCTCTTTCTCTCTCATCAGCTACGATCCCATCGCCTCCTCACTTCTCCTCTCTCCCCACACCACCAACTCAACAGTCACAAACTGCTCGACCTCTAACTATCCTTCCATTCCTAGCCGCTCCATCAACATCTCCGCCACCCCATTCCGAATATCCGACGCCTCCTGCTCCCGCCTCTCAGTTCTCAAGCCTTGCTTCCAGCCAAATCTTCCCAACTGCAGCCATTGCCCTTGGGACTGCAAGCTCATCAAACACCCACTCAAGCTTCTCAACGACTGCGGATCTCCGCACCGCCCTGTCACCCAGCAGGGCTGCCACGACGACGTCTTGAGCTTTCTCGACGATTTCCTCAAAATTGGGATCGAGCTGGAGTGGGACGAAGCTCAAGACTCTTACTTTTCCAGCTGCAGAGCTTGCAAGTCCAACAATGGCTTCTGCGGCTTTAACTCCTCCGACCCAAATAAGCCATTCCTCTGTTTTTACGACGAAACTCACCTCACGCCGCCGTGGATTAGCAAAGACAACCCGAATCGAATCGCCATCTTGTCCTCCGTGTTCACATTGGCTTGCTTCCTACTCGTCGTCTCTGTTGTCATAGCCGTCTTCAGGTCCAAAAGATTAAGCTCCGCTGCAACAGAAGAAGACCCAACAACTCTGTTCCTCCACCGCCACCGCTCCGCCAACCTCCTCCCGCCAGTTTTCACATACGAAGAGCTTGAATCCTCAACAAACCAATTCGACCCGAAACGCAAAATCGGGGACGGCGGGTTCGGGTCTGTATATCTGGGTCAGCTCTACGACGGCAGAGTCGTTGCCGTAAAACACCTCCACAAACCCCTCCGCGGCGCCGCCGCATCCGGTAAAGCCTTCTCCAACAAATGCTTCTGCAACGAAATCCTAATACTCTCCTCCATTGACCACCCAAATTTAGTCAAACTCCACGGCTACTGCAGCGACCCGAGAGGCCTCCTTCTCGTCTACGACTACGTCCCCAACGGCACCCTCGCGGACCACCTCCACG